CTCAGTCTCATAGTTTCATAGTAGTTAGGGGTCAGAAGGGACCTGAATAGATCATCTAGTCTAACCCCCCGCCACTGGTTGGAGCACACGCTGGGATCACATAACCCCAGACCCCAGTTAATCTATGTATCTTCAATATACCTTTTGGAAGATACTGCTTTGGCAGATTTCCTTTTGTATTGGGATCTGCAACAAATAACACTTTAAGAGAAAGTTTCACAGAAGAGGTTCAAGTTGAGCCTGACAGGGTTGAGATCATTACCAACATATGACACCCAAACAAAGGAATGCAACAAAATCACACATGAAAACACACCTAAAAAAAAAAAAAAAGTTTAGTGAGTTTGGAAATATAACCACACCACTAAATTTGAAAATCTGAAGGAATTAATCAAAACATCTCCCATGTTAAGCTACTATAACACTAAAAGACCCACTAAACTATTAATGGATGCCTCTAAAAAAGACATTGGGACAACTCAGATACAAAAAACACAGTGCCTATATGCACAAACTAAAAAAAAAAGCATTAGCTGTAGTACAAACTTGTAAAAAAATTGTGTGTTCATTTATGTAAGGCCTGTTCTATCTGAATCTGATCACAAACATGATAACTATAGCCAAAAAAGGGCTAGCAGATAAGCCTCCCAGAACAAAGAAGCTTTTCTTGCAGCTGGAATTATATGATTTGCATATAGCAGTGGTTCATGCATGCATCTGTGTGTCCATGTGCATGCATGAGTGTGCATGTGTGTGTCTGTTCATGGCAGGAGGGAGAGTGTGTTTGTGTCTGTGTGTCCATGTGCAGAGAGAAAATGAATACAGCGCACACTTGTCTGTGTTTGTGCGTGCATGTGTCTGTGTGCACATGTGTATGTCACTGCATGTGCATGTGTGAGTGTGTCTGCATGTGTCTTTGCTCATGGCAGGGAGAGTGTGTTTGTGTCTGTGTCCATGTACAGATAGTGAATGTGTAGAGTGTGCACCCATCTGTGTGTGTGCATGCATGTGTTTGTGTGCGTGCATGCGTGCATGTGTCTGTGTTCCTGCCAGGGAGAGTATGTTTGTGTCTGTGTGCCCAGGTGCAGAGAATGAGTGAGAGTAGCATGCACCTGTCTGTGTGTACGCCTGCGTGTGTATGCCTGAGTGTTTGTATGTTTGGCTGTAGTGGGACAGGGCGGGGGGGGAGGGGAGCAGGGAGCAGGGAGAAGAGGTGGGCATGTGCCCCCCCACATCCAGCCTGGCAGGGTCCCCCCAGTCTCCCCCGCCATCACCAGGAGTGGAAAGGGACCTGCCCCACCCCCCCATAGCCCAGCTCCTGTGGGCAGAGGGGGCTTCTCATTTTGCATTTGACCAGGGCCCCAATACACATTAATCTGCCTCTAGATGCAGGGCCAGGTGCAGAGTGGCATGGGGTAGGGGGGCATAGGGCCAGATGTGAAGTGCGGGGTGATAGGGTTGGCATGGCACTGGATGCGGAGTGGCATCGGCATGGGACAGTGGGTGCCAGCGGTGGCTGCCACGTGCAATTCCCCCCTGCCCGCCCCCCCATTCCTGGGAAGCAGAAGTGGCACGGGGTGGTGGCTGCTGGTGCTCTGTCCCTGCCTGCTCCCCCCAGCTCCCTCCCCTCCCCCCCCCGTGAATCATTCTTGATGGGCAATTGGCTAGTTACTGTAAATAAACAGCATTATAGTTTCTGGAGTCTGATTTTCTGACTTCTTGATCAAGCTACCAAATAACACATATATCATCTTGCAAGGTTTTGGGTTGTAGCCATGTTGATCTAAGGACATAGGCAGGAAAGCGTCTTTGGGAAGCTTGCCTACATATATCATTTATTGTTATCACTGCATGGAATCTCCAACAGATTTTATCTCTCTTCTGGGAAGGCAGGTAAACTTAGCCTTTATTTGTATCTATGTCTGACTGAAAAAGTGAAAATTTAGACTGTGTTTTTGTGCAACTCCCCAATAGACTAAGGACCTAGGTAGATTCCCAGACACCTAAGTGTATTGAGATTGCAGACTGGCCTGCAATGTAGGTTTGTTCTTTCAGCCATCTAAATATGTAAAGAAGAGACTTCCCTCTTCATCTATTTACTGCCTTTCATTTTCATATCTTCTGGTTTCATGAGTTAAAATCAGTGAGAAACTTTATGTTTTATACTATCCTTAGCACATTCTGAGGTCATGACTTTCACAAAATAATCAGTTGACAAACCTGTGCAATTTGCTAGCTCCATGTCTCCCTCAATACCTCCCAGCCCAGAAATGCTTTGTGTCCTACTGTTATTGTAAGGCACATTTGAATGAGAGACTTAAAAAATAATGCCCTATCTGCTCTGTAGGGACAAGAATTTCACAGACAAATGACTCAGAGTATGTGGAAACACCATTTCTGCTACATTCTAGTGTTGTTTGTTGCTGGTTAACTGCTGTCCTCCACAGATGAAATAACTGTGTTCCAGATGTGTTGAATGAGTTTTGAACTGGGATCTTGTGTACTAAAAAACTCTGGTGATCCAAGGAGATTTGGGAGTATCTCATGCTCCTTCAATTTAGTAATTCTAGACACCATGCAAGCTTAATATTCCAGGCAATTTCAGTGAAAGAAATGCAGAGAAATGAGTTTAATGCTCCTCAACTTTATCCATGAGCTAATTTTGTCAAACTCACCACACTCCTTCCAGCCAGATATAGACTGAGGGGCCCTCATGAATCAGATCCAGTCACAGTGGAAGTGGCAAGAGTGGCAGTGGGTGTTAACAGAGCAACACTCATCCTCTGCCCCCAAATTCCAGGTCCCTGTACAAGTCCTACAGGCCACATGACACAGCTCTGTGTGCCAAATGCAGCCCATGGGCTGTAAGTCTGACACCCTTTCACTAACCATTTCCACTGCCCTTTAACAGAAGGTTTACTCTGAGCACGTTTAAATGAGATGCTACTGCACAGTGGTTACTGCACATTTATTTAGTACTTGTATAAGTAAGTACTAAATAAATGTGTAGTAACTAGAGTTACTGTGCAGTACTGCCAGCAAACATCTTTTAAGTGATGCCTCTATGCACTAGCCTAATAATACTGTGCAGTAGGGTATTAGCACTGTTGGTGCTGTGATGTGCTACTGCGTAGTATTATTCAGCTACTGCGCAGTCAACACCTTGTGTAGACTAACCCACTGTGTTCTAGTTCAACCTGCTCTTAGTTTTACCATGAAGGTCATGACAGAACACAGTCAGATCTGTGTTTTAGCATCCAAGGAATACGACATACCTCTGAACAGGTGTTTGTGTTTCCCAATATCAGGACAAATTAACACCCAGAAGGTGCAATGGAAATTTCTTCCTTTGGGTTTCCTTTCAAATAATTGTGGCATTTTCTTCAGGTTTTTGGCCAGATTTTTAAAGGTTTTTCATCCTACTCAACCTCA